TATGGCTCGTGAAATAAAAATAGTTTTTACATTTTTAAATAACTACCTTAATAATAGCTTTGATTTTGACTCTTGGCCCCCAAAGGCCTGAAATGTTTACTATCTGGCACTTTATAGAAAAAATTTGCTGACCTCTGTAATAACAAACTATGATTTTCACACTAAAATTTGGTCTTAATAATGCAATTTGAAAAGATTTGAGGGGCGGAACAAAGAAAAGGTATAAGCATGTGACATTGCTGAGTTCTCAGATTCGGAAACGTGGGCTGTTTGGAGGTTTGCTGCCCGTCCCTTCACTCCGTGTGCATCCCGTGCAGGCCAACTTGGTGGTGCAGGAGAGTCGCCACGTCCTGGCTATGCAGGACCTGCAGAAGGCTCAGGCCGAGCTGGACGACAAGCAGGCGGAACTCGACGTGGTGCAGGCTGAGTATGAACAGGCCATGACTGAAAAGCAGGTACCTGTCCTTTGTCATGGGAGGGACTGTCACACACTTACACGGCTATCGTAAGCCTTCGTTCCTTTTCTGCTTTCCTTCTCCAAGGGTTTGGTTTCTAGTGGGGAGTCAGTGAATTTATATGTAACACACACACAGCACATCATCCCTTGCTGAGCCCTGGGCTTTGTTTCTCATAGACACAAAGGGTCTTTAGAGAGATGTCAGGGTGGTCAGCCATGATATTAATAGCAGTTGGTTCTGGAACATAACCATTCTGAATTTCCTTATTAAGCGTGATGGTAATGATAATGGTGTCTCGTGTAGCATTTTTTGTTATATTTTTAAAATGCTGTCCTCCCATTTTATCTCATTTGATCTTTGAAACAACACTGCAAGATTGGCACGGTGGATGTTTTTATTCTCATTTTAGAGAAAGGAACTGAGGTGTAGAGAGGACAGGAGACTGGATCCTGGTCATAGGGTGGTCAGAAGTGCTGTCTGACTTGACCTTGGTCTTCTGATATTTATCTCAGGCCTCTGTTGGATCAATGTGACTGACCATATGGCTGTATCCCAGTGACAATGACCATCTAGTCTTCTAACCTATGCATATTTTTCAGCTTTAGCACTATTTTAGAATCTAGGTTTATATATTTTATATCAGCCCTTTATTTTTATTTATTCTAATTGCAGCTCCACGGGACCTCCTTCCTTCTGGTAATTGAGGCAGATTTAACATAAATCTAATGTAGCTTGAGCTTCAGGGTCCCTGACTTGCACAGGTCCCTGTGGGTGCTGGGATTCTGGCCTTACTGGGATTGGTAGAGTGTTCCATGGGGAGAGGAGCCCACGTTATGATCCTCAAGCATTTGTATGTTAGTGTTCAGGTATTAATATAATGCCTAAACAGATCTCAGAAGAAAGACACCTTGAGTTTCTTAGTTACTAGGACTTTGTCATGATTTTCTCCCCTACTTTGAAGACATACTCACTTTTGTATATTATATTTGGAAAAATTCTCTAGTGAGTTTTCCTCAAGTGGTCTCCCCAGATTATGTAGGCTTCTGGCCTCACAAAGTCTGTATCTGCTTCTGATATATTCTATATTTGGTAGATAAGAGCTAGATTCACCCTATGCTTTCCTTGATAATTTTATGAAACTCACCGCTGCCTCTTCTCAGCCTTCACTTGGCCAGATGGAAATTCTTGACCTGTCAGTCTTATAAGACTGAGTTCCAGTAAAAGAGTTTAGATAAACATTTTAGTTTCACCGTATGTAGAATGTCTGACATTTCTCTTAAAGATAAGTCTTCTGAAATCAAAATAAGCTTTTTAGAAGTTTTAAAGAAGTAGCACTTATATGGATTTATATCTTTATGCCCCTTAAAATTCACTTATATAAGGAGAAAATTAACATTGCAGTTTGAAAGAGTGTACTTTAGAAACAATGAGGAAGGAATGTCAATTTTTGCCATTTTGGATGCTAACTTATATCAGAAAGCTGTAC